GTATTATGAATTGTTACCGATTCCAAAGCTATATGTCTTTTTGTAGCGGGCGATCGAATATATCTGATCTCGGGTCTGGAGCACTTCTTGATACATATTTTCTGTATTCTAAAAATGACATAACACATAATCGCTGACAAGAAATGCAGTTATTAATAGCCACATAAGTTCGACCGAATGGAAGCACGGCAAAACTCAAACAGCATCACCAATATCTACAGGAATAGCATATCGATCACCAAAGACAGCGCTTTTTAATTTATGGCCCACTGAGCACCAGGTAAAACCATAAATTCCAAGGAATTTCGAGGAAAGGAAGTGAAGTAAAATTGGCTCATTTTCTTTGTTATTTTACGAGCATCAATATTAGTGTAGTGCTAGGTGGAAATCTGCAAAACGAACAGTCTGTGGCAGGGTAAGTGGTGTCTCTTCCAAGTATAACATAGCGCTGACTGCAAAAGCGAGAGCTCCCGAGCCTGTTTTGCTACTAGTAGCATTTCTGAGTCATGGCTAGTTTTTAGTGAACTGAAGTTCTTGTATTTTCAGAAATTTGCATTTTTCATTTTTTCAAAAAGCGAGCATTTACCAAAAAAACGAACGGATTTCATGTAAAAACTGCGGCCCTGTAATGCAACACCTTCATCCCAACGGAGGGCCTTTCTCCTGCATGCCAAAAGATGCCAAAACACAGCCAAAGTGAAACCAAGTATTAGGCTACAGCGCAGGGATCATTCCTGCTATTAGCGATTTGCGAAGTTAGTGCAAAAGCGCATGGTCGCACCGGCAAAATCCAGCCTGAGCTTTTGCTGAGAAGAAAAAGTTGTCCAATGAGTGGTAGACGCATGATAAATGGCAACGAATGAAGTGATTTGATAATGAAATCAAAATGCCAAGGTAAGGAAAAAGAGCTAAGATCAAATTATTGTATTGGCAAGAACTTTTCAGGCCATTTAAAAGAAACTCGGAATGCTCTCAACAAAATTGACAAAACCTGGGTGACAAGAATTGCGCCTGAACAGCATTCGCACCTTGGTAACGGGCAACATTCTAAGAAACTCTAGCAATGAAAAAACGAAAAAAAAAAAATTAAACAAACGTTTGTCCTGCGTTCATATGTTATATAATTTCCCGGCACTAATCCA